GAAGTACGAAGGAAAAAGAACAAAGAAAGACTTCGGGAACTATCTGACTCCATGAGGAAAGGAAATATAAGAGTTATAGGAATTCCAGAAGGAGAGGAGAGACATGTAGGAACAGAGAAAATATTCCAGGAGATAATTGAAGAGAACTTCCCAAATGCGAAGAAGGAGCTGAAAAATTGATATACAAGAAGCAAGAAGAAACACCAAACTTCCACGACGAAAGAAAAAGACAGCAAGAACACATAATAGTAAAGCTTCCAAGAATCCAGGACAGGAAAAATAATGAAGCTGACAGAGGGGAAGAAACAGATAACATTCAAAGGAAAACCAATCAGGCTGACATCAGACTTCTCCGAAGAAACACTACGGACAAGGAGAGAGTGGAGGACATAGTCAACAGAATCCAAGAAACAGATGCAACCAAGAATACCTATCCCGCAAAGCTCTCCTTTCTCTATGAAGAAATAATATGGACCATCCAGAAAAAGAGAAACTCCGAATTTCATTACGACTAAACCCCACTCCAAAAATAATACAAGGAATCCTAAAGCCAGAACCTCAAGGGACGAATAACAACGAAAGAAGACCAAAAAAAAAAAAAAGTTATTAAAAGAATAAATAAATAAAATCAAAGGAAAGACAAACACAATGGCAAATACAGATGCTAACATATCAATATTAACTCTAAATGTAAATGGACTAAACTCTTCAATAAAAAGACACAGAGTTGCAGCCTGGATTAAGAAACAAAACCCAACCTTTTGCTGTCTCCAGGAAATACATTTAGCTACAAAAGATAAAAATAGGCTCAAAGTTAAAGGATGGAAAACAATCCTACAAGCAAATGGACCAAAAAAGAAAGCAGGAACAGCTATACTTATATCAGATAAAACAGATTTCAAACTCAAAAAAATAAAAAAAGAGACCCAATGGTCACGACTTATGATCAAGGGGACAATACTTCAAGAAGAAAATAACACTCATTAACATATACTCACCAAACGAAGGAGCACGAAAATATATCAGACAACTGTTGTCCTCTCTGAAAAACAGACATCAGAGAAAACACATACGTAGTGGGAAACTTCAACACACCACTATCAACAATGGATAGATCAACAAGAAAAAAAATAATAAAGAAACTAAAGCTCTAAATAAGGACCTACAGCATTGGGCTTAACAGACATCTATAGAACACTAAACCCAAAAAAAGTGGAGTACACATTTTTCTCATGCGCACATGGATCATTCTCCAGGATCGATCACATACTGGGGCACAAGACAAACATCAACAGATACACCAAGATGGAAATCATACCAACCTTTTTTTTCTGACCATGAAGGCATCAAACTAGAAATAAACCATAAAAAGAAGGCAACGAACTATCCTACCTCATGGAGATTAAAAACCACACTACTGGAAGACAATGGACTAACGAGAGATCAAAGAAGAAATTAAAAAATTCTTTGAATTGAATGACAAGGAGGACACTAATATCCTAAATGTAATGGGATGCAGCAAAAGCAGTAATAAGAGGAAAACATATAGCAATAGAAGCTCACATCAAAAACAAGAAAGAACTCAAAGAAACAACCTAATCTCGAAGCTCAGAGATCTAGAAAAAGAACAACAAAAAAAAACCCAAAACCAGTAGAAGAAAAGAAATAATAAAAACCAAAGCAGAAATAAATGAAATTGAAACTAAAAAAA